ACAAAACGAGAATAAATTTATTCTAAAATATTATTGAATCAAAAAAAGATTATATACAAAGCAAAAAACAAGAATACATTTATTATAAAATTTTTCATTTCAAAAAAAGTAAAAACAAGAAATACATTTTTTGCAAAATTTTCAATCAAAAAAAGATTATATACAAAACGAGAATAAATTTATTCTAAAATATTATTGAATCAAAAAAAGATTATATACAAAGCAAAAAACAAGAATACATTTATTCTAAAATATTATTGAATCAAATAATACATATATAAAAAGGAAAAACAGAAACACAATTATTCTAAGAAATTAATTAAATCAAATAATCAGACACTGTTTTTTTTATCTAAAAATACACATTTCGTCTTGTAAATTACTTATTAATTAAACATTTGAGACATTGAGTCGTATATATTTTTGGGAAGCATGCCCTTCATCTGATTTTTCATTCTAGTTTTCTCAGCAAGGGACATTTTTGACGGATCTTTATTTGCAAGATCACCAAAACCTGGAATTTTTGTCATTTTCTTCATCATACCTGTGATCTGTCTGAATTGAGCTAGCAAATCATAGACCATTTTGTACGAAGTTCCGCTTCCACGGGCTACTCTGAGGACTCTGCTGGGACACTCTTCAAAGCATCTTCCATCACTATTGATCTCGTTCTTACTGAGACTATCGAATATGCACACCATCTTCCTAAGACTATCTTCTTCAGGCATGTTTACATTGTTCATACCCGGAATCATCGACAATATGTTTTGCAGAGGGCCCAAGGACATGATCTGCTGGAACTGGTCGTAGAAGTCTTTCAATGTGAACGTGCCTGTTTCTACCTTCTTCATCAGCGCCTTTTCGTCGATATTTAATGAGCTTACTTTCTCAACGAGGCCTTCGATGTCACCCAAGCCAAGCATTTTATTTACAAACCGCTTCACATCAAACTTGTCGAAGTCTTCCATGTTTTCGCCGCTGCCTACAAACTCGACAGGACACTTTGTAGTAGCGACTGATGTCAGAGCACCACCGGCTTTTTTTGTGCCGTCGATCTTTGTGAGAATAATCGAGCCAATGTTGGTTGCGTCGCTGAATCCCTTTGCTTGGCTTTCTGCTGCTTGTCCAATACCAGCATCCATCACAAAAACAATGTTGGTAGGTGTTACAGCTGATATTATCTGCTGCATCTCATCAAATAACTCCTTTTCCTGTGTGTTTCTGCCTGAACTGTCTATCAGTATCAAATTGAACTTCTCGTTGACAAACTTTTCCACGCCCTTTCTGGCTACCTTCACCGGGTCTTTTTCCTCGGACCCGTAGTATGGCACTTTTATTTTCAGTGCGTTCTGTTTGATTTGATCGAACGCGCCTGCACGAAACGTGTCAGCACAGACTATGCCGACTTTGAACTTCTGCTTCTGGTAAAAATTCGCGTACTTACACACTGTTGTTGTCTTTCCGCATCCTTGTAGCCCAACAAACAGCACAATATTCACTGATTTCTTTGATAATTCAGGTGGCTTTGTTCCTGGGTCTAAAAGATTAACAATCTCCGAAACAATCTTCTGGTGGCAGTGTTTGGCCTTGTTAATGCCAGGAGGAAGATTCTCCATGTCTTTTTTAATGTTCTTCCGCAGTGTTAGAAGAAGCTTTGGGCTTACGTTTGCATTGAGAAGCTGTGTGCACACCTCTTTGATCACATTTTCAATCGTCTCGTCGGTGTTTTGCGTGCTGAAAAGATCGTTCAGTGAGGTTGTTATCTTCCTTCCAACGTCGCTTAGCATTTAGAGGGGTAGAAATTGGGTTTTACTTGCATAAACTATATGGAGATGATACAATACAATTGGTAACCATGTTTCAGAGTACAAAGAAATGATAAGTATTAGGAAGAAAATAAACAAATAATAAAAAGCTTAAACGCATATTGATGTTTTACCTTTTGATAATGAATTATTTCACTAATTACCCTTTTTTTTATTCCTTCGTATCAAAAAACTGCAAAAATTGCATCATCCGGGAATCGAACCCGGGTCGAACGCTTGGCAAGCGCCCATTCTACCATTGGACCAATGATGCTTGAAATTATTTACTGTTTTATATAGATTTGCATAAATATAATAATACAATATGTGAATAAAATATAAAAGAAGAATACAAAGTGAATAGTAAATGAAAAAATTAAATAAATAGAAATTATTTGAAGGATATATATGTGAAATAGAGAAAAAAATAATATTATTATAAAAAAATTGTAATAGTAGAATAAAAATAGGATTTTATATAAATTTAAGTTTAAAATCGTAAAAAATATCATAAAATAACATACAAAAATTTTTTTATCAGTTACATTTCAACTATTGAAAAATCAAAATATTCTTTATGAGTTTTTTTAATCTACTAATATAAAAATTTAAAAAATTAACATTATATATATTTTTACGTTTTAATAATTTTATTTGATGTTACGTTAATTCTTATTGATTCTAATGCTCTCTTTTTCAAAAATTTTTCCTTCTTTTACACATCTATTTACTAACGTAATTCTTACCCATATTCATAGACATTTTACAATGCTATAATTAAAATTTAAAGACGGTTATCCGTTACCCATATTATACCTTTTTGTTAAGTTTTATTGTCCTTATATATTTTGCAGTCAAAAACTTTTTAAGCCTGACTAGCTCAGTCGGTAGAGCACTAGACTCTTAATCTAGGTGTCGCGGGTTCGAGTCCCGCGTTGGGTGTTTCTTTTTTAAATAAGCAAACAATAATTTAAACGTGTATAGTTTATATTAAGTTTCTAGTATTTTTAATATTTTTACATACTAAACTTCAAAAAATACTTTATAGTATTTTCAGTAATATTTTGTATTAATAATTTATTTTGTATTTAATTTAATCATATATAATTAATATAATTCATAATACCGTTTTTTTGTTTTGAAAAAAAATTATATCTTAAAACAAAATAATGATATATAGCTAAATTTGATGAAAGAATATATTTACATCATTTTATCATTGCCCTTGTAGCTTAATAGGTTAAAGCGTTGGTCTTGTAAGCCAAAAATTGTGAGTTCAATCCTCACCTTGGGCAAAACTTTCTTATTAAATTTTATGACATTATTGACATTGACATCATTCAAAAAATTATTATAATATATCTAAATAAGAATAGATATTAATTTAAAAAAAGAATTCTCTATTGTATATTGAAGCTTAATTTCTCATTATAAGAATTCAATTAAATAATAAAAAATTTTTTAATAATTACCAAATTCTATAGATAACCTACTATTTTTGTAACAAATATTTACACTTTAAATATTTATAATTGACAAAAATTCAGAAATATTTACAATATATTCAACAATACATATACATTAACAAATATAAATACGATATTTTTATATAAATATTTTCACTATACATAATTAGCAAATGAAAAAAAATAATTTAATATAAGATTGTTTAATATATCTAATATGCAACAAGTTCTTATTGAAAATCTTATTTTTAGAATCCAAAATACCTGACAAATTCACTAATGCAAAGAATTGATGCAAATTAATTTATACCATTTAAAAATTTTTTAGGAATATGTTTCGGTCAATTGATCTGTATGGTTTATGTGAATGATTTTATTACAAGACAACACATCTAAAAATATAAATAATTTAATATATTTGTGCTTACCTGTAAAAAATAAATAACATAATATAAAAACATTCATAGAATATTTATTATAACAATTACTATTGTATTGTTTACAATATCAAAAATAAAATCTTCACTTCAACAAATTAGCTTTTTTATAGAAAAAATTAAAATTGGATTTTACTCTTATAGATCTGTTACAAAGCAAAAAAAATTAGAAAAAAAATAACAAAAATTGATTGACTAAATATATAAAAGATATTTTACTAAACAAGCAAATTCTAGCTTACAATTTCAAAAATTATTTGAAATAATCGATCTTAAATATTTTAAACCTCGCAAATATAAAAATTTAATTAGTTATAATGAACTAAATATATTTTTAAAATTCTGTTGATTTTATGATAATGCATATCTTAACTGTGTTTCAAATATAAATATATACAAAAATATCCTTTTAAACACCATTTATATATATTAATCAACTTATTGTGTAATAAAAGAAAATAAAAATAAATTTAAAGTTTTTACGAGAAATGAAATATATTTTACATATTTGTTTATGAAAAATTTTAAAAAGATACCATATAAAAGGAAAAAACAAATGTATTTCTGTTAATCTATATCATATAAATAATTCTACTTTCTTAATGTTTTAGCATTTTTAACCTATATATCATGGATAATTTACCCCTTAATAAATAAATTAAAAATAATGTCTTTTTTTCAATTATCAACAAAAACATTTAATCTTTGTGATTTAAAACTATACATCTTTGGTATCATTTATTTTTTTATTGCACAATAGAATCACTATTGGTCATTTCAACATTTAAACGCAATGATTAAATTAATTAATTAATAGATCTAAAATTTGCTAATAAAGAAAATAATTACATATTTCGGAAATTTCAAGTATAGAAAAGAACAAGTTATATAAATGTGCTACCATATTATTATACAAAAAAAATCAACATCAAATTCAGATAAACACATTTTCATTGATATAGAAGATCATATACATATTTTCAAGTTACTTTTTAATGTGTATAGAAAAAGACAATGCAATGAATTATTTGTAATAAAGAATTTAAAAATATTGGAAACATAAATATCAGCTAAATATAAAAAATTTACTGTGATAATAGCATTTCGATTTATATATTAATTTTTTTATTTATTTCATTATCTTTTATATCCAGATCATAAAAACATAAACAACTATTTAAAAATGTTTATTGAAATTGAATTTTTCAAAGAAAATATCACGATCTTCTACGTTATATTTAAGTTTTATTAAAATTTAATTACATAGTGTCACAATTTCACCTGCAGCACATCATATTTTCACAATAGATATTTAAATATTCAAAAATTCTTAAATTGTATAAAAATTTATAATTTTAGTATAAAAAAATAAACAAAGGTTTTTCTTCGCGCATTTCATATAATGGAACACAAGAAAAAAACACACATATATATATAATCAAATAATATTGTCTTGTAATAGAGGAACATAATCTTTTTTAAAATAAATTTCTAAAATAATATTATTTCGATAATAATAAGTGTGATTACAATTGTGCTAGTTTTTTTTAGATTCTTTTTGTTATTACTATTGTTTGAATTACAATTACTAACATTATAGCCACTAATAATATCATTATTTCTATTATTATAGAAATAAAATACAACTAAAAAATGTGAAAATTTGATACTTGGATATAAAAAAACATCAAAAAAAATATTTCAAGAATAAAGAGCGTTTTTAGTAATTTAATAACAATTAAAATAAAAATTGTACATTTATTATAACTGACACAAATATGGCCATAGAAATACAGACTCAAGCAAGTATTTTTATAATACATTATAAAACATTTTTATTGTCTGAAAATATGTTAATTCAAATTAGATAAAATATACTAAATACCAAAAAAAAACGTGCATCTTAACATCGAAATACTAAAAATACAATAAAAATATCTTTAAAAACTGTATTTTAATTTCTTTTTATAAATATAATTCGTATTATAAAGTTCTATAAAATTTAGGCGAACAGAAAAAATTAATAATTTTGTTTCTTACTTAATTTTTTTGTTCATAAATTTACAATGTTTTTCACCTAATAGATTTCTCATATGTAAATAATCTTAGTCATTTAAATTAACATATTTACTGAGAAATTCAAAAAATGCATTTTTGTATTATTAAATAAATATACTAAAATAATTTTTATCTTCGTTTTAAACTCCATCTTTAAAAATTTAGAATTATTCGCTGTAAAAAGCTGTATAAACTATAAGTATGGCTGTTTTTATATTCACATAATTATCACTACTAAAATTTTATTACTTAAAAATGTGTCATTAATTTAATATTTAGATTAAATAAACGAACACTTATTATAAAATTGAAAAAAATCTCAAATTTTTCATGTTTACTATAACATGTTCAGGTGACTAATATCCCTAATAAAGGTATATTCGTGTTTTAAAAATATACAATAAGCCTTATTTTTATTATTGGCTTTAAAAAATTATATTTATAATTTAAAAATGTTATAAATTTAATATCAAACAATTTACAATATAAAATATTGAATTATTTTAAATTGATTATATATATTTTTTAATCAATATTGAAAATACTGTTAAAAACCACTAATATTTCTATATATCCTCTTTAAAAGTACCTTATGCTGCATTCATTAGATTTTTGTTGTCTAAAAAAGATTTAATATAATTTTGGGCAGTAGTCTTTATGATGTTTAATATTGATATGATAAAAAGAGGTTCTCGTGCTCTAAAAATTTCGTTCTTAAGTTTTTTAAATTTTATCGCCATATAAAATAAAAAACATAATTTATAGAATATCTGAATAATGGCTAATAATTGCAAAGGTTTGTATTTAAAAAGCACAAGCTAAAAAAATCTAGAAAAGAGAAATCAATTGATGATAAAATATATCAAAAAACCTTGTGTGTTGATAAATTATTCAAAATTTTGAAAAAATTATAATTGCATTTTTTACATGTTTAGATAGCCACTATATTAGAATATTTTTTTGATTCGAAAATCATTGTATATAATAAACAATTGAAACAAAGTTTTTCGCATAAATACATGATATTTCTGTTTTTTTAAAATTTGAAATGTCAGATCAATTTTCGTGTAAATATTTGTTGCAACTAGAATCTAATGTTAATAATACTAACACAAGTATTTTCTGATTTTATTAATTTTACAATACGTTTTTCTTTAGCTTATGCTGATCTTTAAGCAACATGTACTCCAATTTTTGGCGAGTATACTTCAACATAGTTATATATACAATTTTTTTATAAAAAAACATTTTTTTTGTTTTATATCACAGGAAAAATCTAAGTTTTAACTTTTTCCAAAAAGATTATAACAAAATTTACAACGATTCATTTTTATCGTAGGAAAAAATCGAAAAAAAGCCATAATAAACACATTTCTACATTAAAAACATTAATATGGGATACATCAATAGAATTTGAGCATTTTTGGTGTTTTTTCACAAATTTTTTATTTTTTGATATTTTTTTCGATATTATACATTGGTGCCTATATTGTTTATATTCAATACAGGCCCGCAAAATTTTTATGCAAAATATATCAAATTAAAAAAAATGTTATTAAAAGGGTTATTTTCGTGGTCTCAGCAGCAGAAATTACAGAAGAAGTATTTTTTATTCGAAACCACATAATTTATTTGCTGAAAGTTAATATACCTTTCTTGTCACCTCTCAAACACATGTGTCATGTGTTACTTACCTAAATGTAATTCCAATATCATTACGATTAGATAACCACTGTTTAAATTGCGACATACTTAAAGAGCTGTCGATGTGTCTTTAACACAACAAAAAGAACAAAGAAATTTTTTTCGAAATTATAATTTCAAGTGCCTCAAAACCAAAAAAATTGTTTTGTAACTGATTGAAGTTTAGTGTTTTTTTAAGGGACGTAATTTTTTACAAATTTTTAAATTTTGATATTCGTATTCAAAAAAATGCCTTTTACTAATTGCATATTTGAAATTTCATATTAGAAATATACTTTTTTCTTCAAAGAATTAGTGTAAATGTGGTTTCAAGTTTACGATGGCGAGCCTTTATTTGTCTGGGTTGTGATCCTCTTCACAAAGAAGTATAAATGAACATGAAAAAGTAAATAATTTATAGTTCAATATAGTGATCAGATAAAAAAAACCAACATTTAGGATTTTATATACAAATTTAAATGTTTTGTTTTTGGCTATTATACTCACCTCGTTTTTCCTTGTTATAGATTGCGTTTATCTCATTTTTACATTAACTAACCTTAAAAATTTTTGTCCTTTCTTGCGCAATTCTTATTCAAATGTTCAATGTTTGTGCATAATAGCATTATAATCTTTAAGAAGTGCTCATAC